TCGTGGCCATTACTCTATCCTAATTCTATCTTTCTGCTGCCTTTGACACTGTTGATCATCAACAGCTTCTTCTCATTCTCCATTATCTTGGTCTATGGGATACTGCTCTCTCCTGGTGCTCCTCCTCCTACCTATCCCAGCGCTTCTTCAGTGTTTCTCTGGCTCTGCCTCTTCTCCCCAACCTTTCTCTGTTGGCATTCTCCAAGGTTCTGTCCTTGATCCCCTATTGTTCTTTATCTATACTGCCTCCCTTGGTAAACTCATCAGCTCCATTATCATTTATATGCAGATGACATGTAAATCTACCTGTCCTCTCCTGATCTCTCTTTCCCCATCTTGGCTCATGTCATGGCTGCTCACTTCCTTAAACTCAACCTGTCCAAAACAGAACTTATGGTCTTTCCTCCCTCAAGTTTTGCTACTCCGGTGTCTATCTCCCTCCAAGTCAACAGCGCCACCATCACCTCTACCTCACAGACTCTCTGCCTGGGTGTTCTCTTTGACTCAGACCTCTCCTTCACCCCTCATGTGCAGTCAATCGCCAAATCATGCCGCTTCCATCTTAAAAACATAGCTCACATCCACCTCTGCAAGTGGTCTCTCAGTGGTCTTACGTGTTCCCAGCTTGCACTATTGCAATGTATAATAAAAGTGGCTCATTTTCCTGTCCGCCTCCCCCCTCTGCCAGTCTCCCTCTGCCAGTCCCTACACTGACTTCCAGTTACATGTAGGGTTCAGTTTAAGATCCTGGTGCTTGCTTACAAGTCTCTACATAATGCTGCTCCAACCTACCTATTCTCCCTAATACACAAGTATGTCCAATCGAGGCCCCTGCGCTCTGCCAAAGACCTACGTCTATCATCTGTCTGTACTTCCATATCTGATGCTCGCCTTCAAGACTTCTTTTCTGTGAAAATCCTTTCCCTTCTATGTTAGACTTTCACCCAGTCTCCACTCCTTCAATAAATCTTTGAAAACAAACTTCTTCAGGAAAGCATATCAATTAAACTATTAGCAGGTTTTCATCCCCCCACCCATGACGACCCTCTCCTGCAACTGTCAAAAATAACCTACTATACAACCTAGACAACCTTGATGCATTGGCCCACGAACTACAGCTCTAGTGTCTATGCAATGGCCTGACCCTTTGGCCTTTTATACATTTGCTACAGGACCCCAACAGCTGCCCCTTAATCCCCAAGGCAGCGGAGATCCCGCTTACAAGCTACGCGACTCTTGGGATGTGCAGCCTAGTTGGGACAAAACCGCACTGAGTACTGTGTTGCCAGAACTTCCCATTCTTGGGCCAACTCATTGAACACTGACACTGGGACTTTATGGAAAAACTAACAGCAGCCAGGGAAGCTACTGAATCGGAGTGGACTCATGCCACCATCCAGCACCTGAGTACGAGTTGGACACATGCCTGCAAGTATCATCCTACCATGCTCTCACCTTATGGGCTAGCATACAGCCTTGTGTCTATGCATTAGAAAGGACTGGGAAGGGTACAGATGTCCCCCCCCATAACACCGGGAAGATTACTTTAATTGGGGTGAGGGGCATAGCGGGAGGTGGGAGCAGGAACACCGGTCTGGCAGGCATACCCACTGATAGGGGAGGCGTGGTTGTGACACTTATACTCAGCGATCATCATAATCAGCTCCCTATATTTTCGAACATATACTTAAACCCAAATCACTGTGAGACCCATAAACATCCTAACTCCAAGCAGGATGGAAGAGGGAACATTGTAGTGAGTAGGGATGGGTAAATGAGGTGGGGAGGGAGCTTGGGCCCTGACTGGCCTCAGCCGCCGGATGCCCTGCCTACATTTGACGACTTATTTGGGAACACAATCTTGCCGAAAGAGGGCAAGGATGGAGACCACTGTGGGAATTAAAGACCCATCTCCCTCATTAACTGTGATCTAAAATTGATGGCAAATATCCTGGCAACACGTTAACAAATGCACCTTCCCGCACTGGTACATCCAGGTGGGAGTGGAGTTCGTAACACCATCAGGGCACTGACAGTCATGTACGGGAAGTTGACTGGGTGTGGAGGCCTTCTCCTGCTATCTACGGATGCCTAGAAGGCGTTCAATAGAGGTAGCTGGACTTACTTGTTTCTGGTGCTGTCCCACCTGGGGCTGGAACCGCACATGAGCTATACAGACAGATCAAGGCACACGTGATTGTAAACCGGGCCTTCACAGAGGAATTCACTATCCACAAAGGCACCCGATGGGGATATTATGAACACCCAATGACTTCCACCTCCTCCTTTAATAAACTTCTGTCTACCAAATTAGAGAAACTCTAGATTGGGTTGTTGAGCTGTGTACCTCCACTCTCCAGTGTTTTCTTAGTGCTAGATCATCTTCTTTTGTATTTCACTTATTGAAATAAGTTACTAACTGCCTTGTATTTCACTTGCTTATTCTTTCCTCTCAGTGCATGGAGACATGAATGACATCTTTAATGACATTACCACAGAAGCGCAGAGTGCAGAAGGTTGTTATTGGGGACATTTAGCAGTATAAATCAATTCAAACAGAGTTATTTACTAAAGTGAGAATTTAAAGTGAATTCAAAGTGAATTTCAAATTTAAGTACAAAATAGTCCAACTGGGAAATTTCTCTACTTCAACTATGCTTTCAGTTTGGCTACTTTGACCTTATGTTTAAAATGTGCTTTAGTACTCTCACTTTAGTAATCAGCCCTGTTAGAGTCAAACCATATTCCAACGTTTAAGTAATGGCATTTAGTGCTACAGACAGCATTAAAGGAATATCTCACAAAAATCCCTACATTTGGTAATACCTCTGTCATTATCATAATAAAGTGGTTTTGGTTTACAATTGGTTTACAATGAGAAGACTTCTCTAATGGCTGTCAGACTGACATCTATCCTCTAGAGGTGCTTCCATCATAGGTCTTGGCACACATCATGATGACACTGATCATGTCAAGGGGTTCTACAGAGAAACACTGGATTCAATTTAATTTACTTGGAAGCGAGTGGTGGTTGCTGCACATACAACCTATGCCCCCAAATGTTTCTCTATGAGAAGCATTAGATGAAACAAAAGACATTATACTTGATGACTTCACAGAAGGGTATGTGCAGAGAAGACACATTGCTGGCGCTGAAATAAAGGTAAGTGTTACAGTATTTGTTTTTTATTTTTTTAAACAAGGGAGGCACAGTAAACGCCATGCATTAAATAATACTCTAACATTAAAAATAAATATGCTTATTAATAACATTATGGAGTTCATTTAATAAATATATTTAATGTTTAAAGTGACACTATAGGCACTCTAACAATTTAATTTCATTGAATTGGCTTTAGTTACTGGAGTCCTTGGCTCCATTCCTCTATTTAATGTTAATCCATTTTCGAGAAGTTTAACATTTAAGGAAAGTCCCTGGCAGCCCACATTCAGGTCCACATTGGTGGTGATATTACACACTTCCTTAGCCATACCAATTAATATCAGCACTGGGTGGCTGTGATGAGCTGAATGTGGCAAGCTTACACTCTCAGCCAATCACTGCTAGCCATGGCTGCACAGGCTAGAAGTTCCTTATTAGCCCACACATCAGAAAGGGGATGTGTAATGTGGACTCAAACCACATCATCAACCCCTTAATGCCACAGGGTGTACTATGCCACCCTGCAAAATGAGGGGTTTAACACCACAGTGAAGCATAGTACACCCTGCGGATCGCCTATCCCCTGCCCTGACAACTCAGGCAGTCCCCTGGCAGCCAATCCGGCCCTTCCAGGCCATGTGGTCATGATGACATCGCGATCACATGATTGGATCAGCAGTCTGCGGAACTGCCTGCATGGGGGCTGTCTGGGCTTAAATATGGTCTCAGAGGCTCATACATAGGCCCAGCAAACCAACCTGGAAAATGTGTATATACTGAAAAGGGGAAAGAACTTTATTCAACTCTGTAACTTTCCAAAACCCCATAAAATCTGTATGGTGTTGTAAAACATCGCAGAACACAAATCTGTGTATTTTATTTTAGCAAAAGCTAACAGTATCATGAAATTCACAGGTAAAATTATATGCAGAACTTTTAATACATTTCTAAATTTCTCACACTTTTTTAGATTTTTATTCTTATTAAATGATGTTTCATATATAAATATTAGATGTGAAATTAAAGTCTTGCTTCTCCTGAACAAAATTATATACGAGTGTAAGTGCACTCACTATAAAAGAGGTAAATTATGACTCTCTATACCTCTCTGTCCTGTATTGCATATAATCATCTGTTCACTGGGAGCATACCAGCCAGATCCTGTCAGCACAGTGTGGGATACTTCCCTCTCCAGTGGAGCCTTTCAAACCCAGAGCCAGGGGTGATAGGGCTCTGGTCCCTGTGAGTTCTCCCCATAAACCTTTACTGTGCATTACAATATCCAGATTGTATCCACTATATTGTGGTTATTTTATCTATAGATCAATTTTGACATCAGTTCAAGTGCGCTTTTTTGTGGTAATATTATTCTTATCTGTGTATAAATTTTTGTGTCACTGTGGTACACTGCAGCTGAACTGAGTACCTCATCACCTCTATAGCGCTTATACACTTTTGGTTTCTTATGTATGAATTTGATATTGCTAAGTCCGAATTGAAAGTTCTGCATTAATACTAGAATAAGTAAGGTCAGATCAAAGGAACCTTTTGGATCCTCCGTTTGGTTAAAGCATTCAAAGGCAAATTTTCCCTTTAATATAACATTTCCAAAACATTCAAAAACACAAAAAAAGCCAATTTTCTAGAAACACCATAGTATTTGTCATGTAGGTTCTTTATTAGAAGTCCAACTGTAGTGTGACATAGTGATTGGCAAATTCAGCTCAGCTTTTCATTCTTCCAAGGTCGATAAAATAAAGACCTTTACTATGGGTAAGAATAAGATGGAAACCAGAGGTAGACCTAAAAAAGAAAATAATTATGCATATGTGTATCTCAAAATTATTAGATTTTCAGCATGTTCTCTGTGAAAGTTCAATAGTTACAATAACATAGATTTGCTTTGCTGTTAAATGATACAAGCAGTTTGGGGGAAGATTAAATAAACGAACATGCCAAATAATGAAAATAACATTATGATCTTGAAAGGAAATGTATGTTATTAAGTCTGTCAAATGGATTTCAATCTAGAAAGAAGCACAGGCTGTCGAGAAAGTTGTGTCATTGTCCCAGGAGTTCAATGAAATACAATGTTGTGTAAGGTTTTTTGACATGTATCATGTTGTCATCTGTCACTGTGCATCACTCACAGCACAGTAATATGTCCCAGTATGAAGGATCTGTACATTCCTGATGATGAGAGTTGTTAAGAGCTTAGCTCTGTTAGAAGCCATACTGAAATGTCCACTATCTTCTGCTGAGTCAACACCAGACATGATATGTTCGAGTGTGAGATTCTGGTGGACTTTGTACCATAATAGTTTGTCATATGTTTTGATTGAATGATTACAATGTATTTCAGCAACCTGCCCCTTAAAAGATTCCAGTTCTGCTGGTTTGTGAACATTGGGGATGCTGTGAGCATCTGCAATATAAAATCAATTTTGGAAATACCAGTAATTAGGGTAAATTTTAAGAAAACATGAACAATAGCATAAGATAAATTAAAACTTACATTTGACATTCAAAATTTAACTGTTATAGCTAAGGTTGATTCTTTTTATTATCTTGTTCAATATAACATGAATAGTTATTAAAGGGACATTCAATAGATATCCTTGTACTTTCATTGCATAATTTAAACATTTCTAAAAAAAAGTTCAAAACATTTGTTTGTAAAAACTTACCCATGAATATAGCAAAAAGACAAATAATGAAAAGCATTGTATACAGAGTAAAGAGCTGAGAATACTGTGAGAACAGAATGGAACAGAACGAGCTGAAATCAGCTGTTAAAATCACACCCACGGGAAGTAAAGACAATGACATAGGGTGACCTACATTTATAATGAGGCAGACTGGCAAGCTAAGAATCATAGGGTCTCTGAGTGGGTACAATGTAGGTTTAGTTATATAATTTTGTCATATTCCCAAAATGCAAAGCACTCCTGCAAGTGATCTTGTGGTCTGGTTTACTGTGCTCAGAGAAGCAATGTTTTGGCCTGAGGAAGATCTTGATGCATCTTAAGATGCAGTAAAGAAGTCTATAAAACAGCTTAATTGCAACATATGGCAATCAAATAGCAATGTAAACAGTCCAGTATATAGAGGTTAATTTAAACAATCAATTAATTATAATGTGTATCTTTTAAACTATTACTCTCAAAATCTGCATACATTTTCACTACATCTTGCATTCCATGTATTTGAGACAAACATAGCCAAACTGGCAAAGTTCGGCTACTGACCACTCCACATCCCCAAAACACTTCAGTTTGTTGAAGTGCTTTATGGAGAGGAGTGTTCTAGTTTAACCCCAGATTATAAAAGAAATTGGCCCTTTAATAAATTAACTAGTGAACACCTCCCTGGCTGTCAATGAAACAACCAGGGTGTTTTGCAGCCTCCTTCTATCAGCTCCGCTAAACTAGCAGAAGTGGCAGACATGCTTTACTTGAGAGTGGCTGCCTCCTCCCACACAGACCTCAATCCAGCTCCTTCAGACCTCAGTTGAGACGTGCGGGTCGGCGCAAGCATGTAGCCTGCACACACACATACATGAGCACTAATTCAGAGGATTGTCAATAAGAAGCCTCTAAATGGTTATTTCCCTGTGAAGAGACTTAAAAACTCATGCATATATATATTCATTAGGGGCATATCTATAAAAACAATGGTTAAAAATTACACCAAAATAGTGCTTATATCTAATAAGTTTGCTGATTTCACAAGTAGTTACCAGCAGCAACTATTTAAAAGCCATTTGTGCATAGCTCGCATTATTCTCTACAGGAAGAACATAATTTGTTCCAACCCTGTTGCTATTTTTATTGCCAGACGCTAAGCCTTAAAATTGAAAAAACTGATAATGCATGCAAGTGACATTTAATGTGGATAAGTGCAAGATATGCATCTTGGACGTAAAAACCCAAGGGCAGAGTACAGACTATTTGATAGAGTCCTAACCTCAACATTTGAGGAAAATGGATTTAGGGGTAATAATTTCAGATGACTTAAAAGTAGGCAGACAGTATAATAGAGCAGCAGGAAATGCTAGCAGAATGCTTGGTTGTAAAGGGAGAGGTATTAGCAGTAGAAAGAGGGAAGTGCTTATGCCATTGTACAGAACACTGGTGAGACCTCACTTGGAATTTTGTACGTAGTACTGGAGACCGTATCTCTAGAAGGATATTGATACTTTAGAGAGAGCTCAGAGAAGGGCTGCTAAACTGATTCATGGATTACAGGATAAAACTTAAATGGAAAGGTTAAAGGATCTTAACATTTATAGCTTGGAGGAAAGACAAGCCGGGGGATAGGATAGAAACATTTAAATACATAAAGGGAATCGACACAGTAATGGAGGAGGGGACTAATGCAATTATTTAGAAAATTTGGCATACTAGATAGGCCGAATGGTTTTTATCTGTCGTCACATTCTATGTTTCTATGTTTCTACTAGGTTTGGAGAATGTGCATGGTGCAGGCTCTGTTTGTAAGTGCACCCCTGGGGAGATCGGCATTTTTCCAACCCAAAGGGTGTTCATGATAAGCTGATCTTAATCTCGCAGTGAAATGGACTGTCTCGGTTATCACCTGCTCGAGGAGTCTTCTTGTGTGTGTTATGGTGGTTTTTTGGGGGTGTTTTTTTTTGTTGGGGGGGTTCATACGTGGTAGCTATATGCATTTAAAAAAAAAAAATATTTTAGTTTTTTAGCTTTGTTTGTGCCCTCACCATCATTTTTCAATATATGCCTTTTTTTTTAAATGCACCATTTTATGAAACAAGAGCTTTATCATTTTTTTTATTGTTTCACTTCTTTTTGAAGCTACTCTAAATTTAGTAGTCTTCTGGAGTGAAAATGTCAGCAAAAACTGGCGTAATTTAGTTGAAAGAAAATAATCCTTTTAGCTCCCTTTTAGAAAATGATCAAAGGCTTACCTTGACTCCTAGTCATACTGAAAGATCCATCACACTGGACATGTACCCTGATATATCATCTCCAATTTATTTTATTTTTTTAAATATAATTTTTATTGTAATTTTACAAATATTAAACATTTGGGTTCAACAACATCTTCCGAGCACAACGGACCAAAATAATATATTAAAATATTCCAATATGTTCCCGTCTAAATCATTCTTCAGATAAATAGTCGATTAAGTACTAGTATAAACCAAAACAGAGAAGATTCGGGATATGGCTGTGTAAATCTACAGAGAAAGCATAAAACAAAACATAGTGTGATATTGTTATAAAACACAATATTTCATGCGCAGTAATCTTGTGCACTCACAGGATGTAGGCAGTGAAAGCGCTCTTAAGGTGCCTTCCCCAATGGAATGGGGGGCTAGCTGGTATTCCTTATCACCTCTGGATCCTTGTATCACCAAAAGACATCCACAGGTCAGGGTTCAGTAATAAAAAATTTATTTAGATAAAAAGTGTAGTCACCAATTCAGCATAGGATACAAATAACAGAAGGTTGTCCTACGCGTTTCGTTCTATAAGAACTTCCTCAGGGACCACAATTAAAAACAATAATAACAATGTATCAATGTACAATACATAAACATATCCTATACACATCCCCCCTCCCTGTGTCCTTAAATAGGGCTAATCCCTAAAGTCTATTGGTGGATCCAGTAGGCGTGTAAATCCTCCTTGGTTCTAATTGGAGGACTGATCTTCCTGTGGCAGCTGTTTGTCATCCATTCATTTTCCATAATTTGTAATTCGCGCCTTTTTCGGCAAATACCGGAAGTGGTCATAATTTGCCGAAACCGGAAGTGACGTCGCGGGAACGTCCGCGTTCCACATGCGTTCCACCAGTAACGTCTCCATGGCAACCGGGCGCGATCAAGTCATTCAAAAGGTCAAATGGAACACAGGACAAATAAAAAGCCCCATTCTGCTTGAGAAAAAAACTGTTAACCATTTTTAACATATTTAGCCGTTATTTATGTATATATATCTGTTGAGTATCACCCTCCTCATTAATCCCATCACACAACATAATGTTAATCCTCATATTGTACCAAGTAATCATAATACCTCAGTATATTATAAGCCTAAGGCTTCGTATTACAAAGTGATCATATTTCCTATGTCTATTATTTAAAAGGTTTTTTTTTTTTTTTATATACTTTATACATTGTTAATCAAAGTGAACACCGTAATCAATTCATCACTGTATCAGTTTAAACTTCAATTTGTCGTGTTATATATTTGTACTCCCCATAAAAATCTTTGGGATAAACCTATTATACACATTGAAATAATCCATTGCTATGGTTACACAAAAAAGGGGTTAGTAGATTGTGGCTACAAAATAACTACTTCCCATATAAACTTTATTTAGTGAATCTACCACATTCAATTTATACCAGCTCTAAAAAACCTTAGAGCAAATCCATTATTTATATTAGAATAATCGGTTATTGTGTTTTTATTATAGTCATTTGTGATTTTTGGTCATATAGGACAATAGATCACAAATTGTAAAAAAAGAGATAAAATAAAATATAAGAGATATAAAATAACTACCTGGTATTTGATATATATATAAATCCTCTCTCTAAGTAGGGATTAGCTTTCAACTGTAGAAACAACCCAAATTAAAGGCAAACACACATATCCTAACTCTTTGTTCTGAAGATTTTAGGCCATATTAATCTAGAAAACAAATTAAATCAATATCGATATTGAGACCCTTAGGTGAGAGGGTTTGTAATTTATGTATCCAGAACGTCTCCCTCTGGGCTAGTCTTTGAACTCTATTACCCCCACGCCAGAAGGGGTGGACTCGTTCGATTCCCCAACATCTAAAATCCTTAAATGAAAAAAGGGGACATGATATACAATGGGTTGGGACTGAGTGTGTCGTCAGTCTCTTTCTGATATTATTAAGATGTTCTAATAGGCGAACCTTCAAAATCCTCTTAGTCCGTCCCACGTATTGCATGCCACACGGACATTGTAGCAAATATACCACAAAGTCCGTGTGGCAATTTATACTATCTCTAAGTGCAAAGCTCTCCCCCGTGGTGGAGCTAAAAAATGAATGTGTATTTTTTATAGACACCGTGGTACAAGCTTTACAAGTGCCACAGCCTCGAAATGAACCTGAGCTGGCAGAAGTGGGACCTGATGGTGGTTTAATGGCATAACTAGGTGCCAACATATCCTTCAAATTTTTATTCCTTTTGTAGATTACCAAGGGATTGTCTGGTAAATGTGTCCCCAAAATGGGGTCTTGTAGCAGAATTGGCCAAGAACTTTGAAGACTTCTCTTAATTTTATTATAATCAATATTATAATGGGTGGTAAATGCAGAACGGAAACTATCCGCAGTTCCCGAAGTATATGATTTATTCTCCAAAAAAGTTTTCCTTTCTATATCGCCAATACGACGGATTTCTCTCTCCAATCTCTTTCCATTATATCCTCTATCTGTAAGCTTCCTTTTAACATGTAATGATTGGGCAAAAAAATCCTGTTTATCAGAACAATTTCGTCTAAGGCGGGTAAACTGGCTTTTGGCTATCCCCCTAAGCCAGGGTTCATGGTGACCACTCCTACGATGAACAAACCCATTACCATCAGTAGGTTTAAAGAAACATTTACTTTTTATATGACTCGAATCATGAGATAGACAAAGATCAAGGAAATTAATCTCATCCTTATTCCAGATAGGAGTAAAGACAAGGTTGTACTCATTGTCATTCAAAAAATTAACATAATCCTGAAACG